AGCCATCTACAAAGTTGATCATCTTTAATGCACTTTATCAATGAAGAAGTTATGTTAAACATGTTAGAACATAATCACTCTTATAAAGAAGTTAACTGAATCTGACTAGGTATAAAAAAAGAAGTATAAGTTAACATTGTTTATATTAATTGTATTTATCATTACTAATATCTCATTTTAAGTAAACTAAGACTGCTTGTACTATTTTACTTTCCCTCGTAATTCCATGAGCGTGCTAACTGCATTCCTTGGGCGACTGAATAAAACCTGAAAAGTAAAAGGAAGATGGCTTCTTGTTCTGGTCACGACAAGTCCCCCAAAGCTTCAAGTAAGACATGTCCGTACCTTCATAAAAGTAGCCTCGAGCTCACCTTGTTGGTTATACTTTAACTTTATGGCTTTAATTATGTTCAAGTTTGTTTTAGGAGAAATTAATGACGTGTATTATTATCCCCATCCATTTTCATGTTTGGAGAACCAGTCTATCTTTTGCTTGCCATCGGATACAGCCAAGGCGATGTTCGTGGTAGGTCTGGCTTTTCGGCCACACACATATCACGCGATTTTCCCATCACCGCACTCCGTGAGCCGATCGGCAGCAAGTCACTCGGTTCAACAGATTTCAACGAAAGAATAAATCATCATGATATTAAGATTCTTGACATTTATATAAGCACAGAAATTTATCCTATTTCCTGAAGCTGGAAGTCTTTACTTTTTGAGGCAGAGAGGGGTGGAGAATGCCAGCAAAACTTATTAACAATGAAATCGCAAGGACTCGGACATCTTACTGATTCATGTAAATTTATATTAAACACAGGTTAATTACCCTTGATGGCTTACGGAACTCGAAGGTTCATCACCGAATTAACCAAAATCCAGTCGCCTTCAACTCCTTGATATTATCCTCCCATCTACGTCTAGGTCTCCCCAGCGGGTCACTTCCCTTCTGGCTTCCCGACAAATACCCGGTGCACACCTCTTGCCCCATCTATGCGCGCTACTTGACCTGCCCATCTCATTCTTCTCGACTTAATCACCCTCACAATACTGGGGGAGCAGTACAGATTTTTAAGCTCATCGTTATGCAGTTTTCTCCATGCTCCATTCTCTTCTCTCCCAGGCCCAAATGTCCTCAACACCCTATTCTCAAACACCTGCAATCTGTGTTCCTCTTTCAGAGTTAGAGACCATGTTTCACATCCATACAAAACAACAGGCAAAATTATTGTTTTGTATACTTTAATTTTCAGGTTCTTAGAAATCAGACGGGAAGACAAAATATTTTGAACTGAGAAGTAGCAAGCATTTCCGGAATTTAGTCTCCTCCTAACTTCCTCACAAGTATCATTTTGATTTGTTATTGTTGTTCCCAAATATTTGAACTTTGTAACCCTTTCAAAGGATTTATTAGCCACCCTAAGATAATTTGTCGAGTATTCTAGTGCAAAGTTGAATAGTAATGAAGACCGTTCATAATGGAAAATGACTCAGATAAATATTTACCTATTGAATTTTGCTGCAGTTTTCTTTTAAGCACATTTTTATTAGAGTCACTAGCTTCTTTGAAAGTTCCACCTCACGGCAGTGGGAATAAAATAAATACGATTTAATGGTTTAAAGGCTGTGTGTATGAAGATGGTTGTCTTGTGACTTGTTACGCCGTCTAGTCTGATAATAGAAGTTTTTCGACGTTTCAGAGGTGTTTGCTGCCTCCATCATTATCACCCTCATGACGGAGACAGCAAATATCTCTGAAACAAAAAATAAATAAAGCTAACTTAATTTTACATGATTCCATTATTTCGCTGTTGAGGTAATTCCTTTTTCCGACTATGGGGATAAAGTTCAATGATTCAATGATTTTTTATAATATTTGCAGAATGAAATGTTTACATCATTCTTGGACAATATCTACTGACTAACGGATTGTGTGGGTGATTTGTTTTGACAAGTAATTATTTTGTTCCCGTGACATATGATACAAATAACATTTATTATGCATTAACATTTTTTACATTGCCTTTGTAGTTGTAACACAAAAGTTCAGAAGCGGTTAATTAATGCGGGGGAAAGTAATTTTATTTCAACAATTGCAGCAGATCTATTCACAGATAATAAAGTAAAGATTGAGCAATCGGTGGGCCACGCAGACATGAGGTGCCTCACACATTACAGAAATCATTTTGCTAAAAATGCGTAATACGTTACGTCTTCATTGAAACTCGGTAATATAATGTTACAGTTGTTGAACTGTGTATTTTCAAAACTGAAACTTACTATTAATTCTTACCGCCCTCTTTTTAAGAACCCTTATTGTGTTTCAATATTTCAATATTAATATACAATTTCTGTTTTAGAAAATCATCGGTTATTTTAACTCTATCCCGTCTAAGATAAGAGCACTCTCATTTCGATGATCTTCGTAAAGAAAGTCTTGGAAATGTTTTTGCATTTTTATTTGACAATACAATATTGAGGCAGACTTGTAATAAGATTGTGCTGATTAAATACAGAGTAAATTAAAATGTTCAAATAACCATGGCCACTTTCATACAGGCATATTTAAATGAAATCTATTTCTACAATTCTACAAAACTGTACAATATGTTTTGGTTCATTTACTTCAGAAAATCTGCATATTTTTATTAGCATGGTGCACATTGTTTTAAAATAAGCACAAGAGTAGAGGTTTTGATAATATTTCTGCAATATTTCAATGAATTTACATCCTTCCAATGTCCGTGTTTGAACAATCTATTTCTTTGTATTTAAAAGTTATCTTCTAAAAAGTTTTGTTACGTAAAATCTGACACGAATTGTATGTCGCCTACAGTAGAGACATCTATTCTCGTTTAGGTACAAAGAAAGTAAAGGAGGAATTATTTGAAGTTGAGCGAAAAGAATTCTCTTCAGTCCACAGTGAACTTCCACAAACTTCCAAAGCATGCAATCAGCCAGCCTTTGGCTATTTCCTTAAAGTAATCTACGAGATGTCATTGGAATCCTAAGTCGGCCCAAAACTTAGGGCCTCGCTACTATGCCTAACGTTTATCTGCTTTCCTTCATCACGAAAAGAAAAAGAAAGCTTCAATCCCATTACGTCTTATACTCGCTTTCTGGATCCTTCGTTTCGAGAGAACGCCTCAGAGGGAATAAAAGAAACAGAAAATGTTTGGATCTCTGAAACGAACGTCGATTTTTTGACGAGTCTGAGGGGGTGAGATTTAAAAACTGAAATGTATTTTCAGTTAATGGATAGTAGTAAGGGCTGAATCTACATTCGTGCATTAACCATTCCCGAGGAATAAATTAAGAAAAATAAAAAAAATAATAAAAAAGATTATGGCATATTTCGTGACTTGATCCGTCAATATTATTACCAGGCGTGTTATCGTGACGTCACTGGGCATTGCGTGACGTGGACAGTCTTGTTAACAGACTTTTAAGTACCTGCTTCTTTCTGACTGGCTGAGGGGGTCTGATTGTAGCAACAGGGGGTTCCACGCGTTTTAACAACTTGTTAAAACAGGCGCCTGGAAATTCTTACCTTATATATTGACAGATTTATTTAGACCTTAATCTCACACACACATCATTCCGTCCAGCCATAAAAAAGTCTAAAAATGCAAATATAGACTATACAGATATGTGATCAAACTAAATTAATGTTCGTTTCACGTCTTGTGTAACAACATCGGCTTTACAATTGTGATAGCATAATTATATTTGACATTATAATGTTCAAATTCTGTCGATTTAAAACCCACAGAATTAATGGCTGCCTGTTCAACATCTCAGCTGACCGCTGTTACAGGAACCTCGACCTTAACTTGATGTTAATCTACGTAGATATTTTCCATAATTGATACAACACAGTGTGACGGTTCTATGAAATACGCAGTAATTGTTATATAAGGCACACATACATGTAAAATCCAACACAGTGTATTTTTAATAGACCACCTGCCACCTACAGGTCCGATGCGACAGAAAAATAGTGTGGGCGGGTTTATATATGAGTTTAGGAGCAATGAATTATGATTGGTCCGTATAAAAGGTAACGGTCACGAAACTGTTACAGGCGATAACGGAAAACTTTTACTTGGGGGGAAGAAATGTAAAAAAGAGGGAAAAATCGCTGAAAATCATGTTTTTCCGATCTCACGTGTTGGAACTTCATACCTGGGACCTACATTCATTCCATTACCAACATTAAAACATTACGCTCAAGCTGACTACGAATTAAGGAATCTCTTTGTGTATGATTCAGAAAATCCGCGGGCATGTTACACGTTTTCCATTTAGCACGTGTTCGATATGTACAGTGATTAGCTGAAATGCATCCCCGCGTATAAGAGTAGTCACTAAAACCTTCATATTATTTTGTATAGTTCCTTATTATTTTTGCGAATTGTACCTAAGTTTGAATAAAAAGTTCATCTCAGAAAAGTCGTTTTATATTTTATTATTTTACTAGACGATGTAAAATATCCAAGGAACTTTTTATTCAAATAACTTACCATCGTCACGAACTTTTAGATTTGATGTAACTAAGTTGCGTACTCTACATTGAAGCTCATACAAAATATAACAAAAACCATCTTTTAGGAACATTTCAGGATTAAATTAATAATAAATTACGATCGTAATAAATACGACATCAATAGTCAATCACAGTAGATAATTACCATTTTAATACGATGCTACATACACGAGACTGAAATAATTACTTCAAGGACCACATTTCCTGTTAGTTCGTATCAATGAATTTGGGTAGACCCGTCATTCTTGAAGTCGCTCGATATGATAGTCGTATGGGTAAATTGTTTATCACGTTACTCTAGGAAAACCACAAGCACGCAGCAAATATACTACTAGAAAACACTCCGCATTAAACATAATTGTGCCTCAAGCGATGAAAGAAAAACACGAGAAAAGCTTGTATGTGGACAGACAAAACTGACTCAAACTTGTCATGATTTGCTTTTGTTTCATACCTTGTTCTGAGGTTTGGGGAAGGCTTCTTCCAATCCCTACTAGCCCTTAGGGTAGGACTAGACCGAGTCGAAGGCACAAAACAAACGCTTGTTGGAAAGTGGGATGGATGGATGTATGTCTGAAAGGTCCTCTGCGGCCACAAGTCCTGCAACAATCATCATCTTATCCATGATTTGCTCTAACGTTATTCGCTTTTAAGAGTTAGCGATTCGATCTTTTTACAGTATGATACAACATAGTACATTTTAACAATCTTGTAAATTACATTAATAAGACACACAAACTTCTAGTGTCGTGTTGCATTTGTTCCGTTATTGCAAAAGCAAAGCAGTGCATATAGATGGTGGACGAACTTCGTATGGCGATGGGCGGAGAGCTGTCTGGATGTTAACTAGGCAAGGTAGAGGAGGCAGGGGAAACTCACCACAGCACAAATTATCATCATCATCAGAGCTCGGAGGTCCGTCATCACTTTTGCTTGCCTTCGGGTGCGACAGGATAACCATTATTTGTCTTAAGAGAGAATGGGATGCCATCACAGTACTGGTCAAAAATGTCGCAAACTCTCCACAACTTAATAAATCAAAGTCCGTGTGGGAAGTTTAAATGTTTAGAAGTTGTCTGTTGTAAGCCTCTCTTTACTTCATACTTTCGTTCTTTTCTATTCCTCCATTTTACATGATCCCTCCTCCCTTTCTTCATTATTAACATAATTTAGTTCTTCCTCCCCTCCATTTTACTTTTATGGAATTATGATATCATCATAACCTACGCCTGTCCCCCCCAAAATAACTTTTGTTTGATGGATTTAAATGAAACTTGATATAAACGTCATGCCACTAGAGAACACCCCTTCTCCTCACTCGTCTTTCACAGTTTCCCATCATCAAAGTTGTGGCGACCGTGTCAACAAGAGAAATTTCGTGTAAGACCATTAGTGTCTACATTTCATAAAGATCTTCGAAAAAAATGTAATACTTCATTCCGTCTATCTTAATGTGAAATTATAACATGGAAACCACGAGAAATATATGCATACACCTGAAAACTAATTTAATAGCAATAGTTAATAGACATTATAAAATGTGTATGGAGATAAAAAATAAATATACCTTAAAATTTTTAAAAAAACATATTTTACTTGTTTGTTAACAAATAAAGCGACTGTGCGAAATTTTTGAGGTTATACAGGATCTACACAAAATATAACGGTAGGGATCCGTGTTAATGAATATTATATACCAAAATGGATCATTAAATTGTATATATTTATATATAGTTGTTGCTGCCCTCATCAAACAGACTGAAGAACTTGAAATATGGTACCTTAAATGGGGCTCTACCAGATTTAAGATAAATTGCTCCTGACACATCACAAAGACACAGTGGATTGTCGACACTCATCGCCCTGATGATGGATGCAGAAAGGACCTCTGAAACGTTGGTAAACTTCTAACAGACTACAGAACGCGACTGTAATCCTGAGACTTGCAAGGAATGCAGGAAGTCCGTAGCGTTAAAGGCAGACGCTATCATTCCAACTTCACTTCACTTCCTCACCAAGCAAGTCTCAAGATTACAGTCGCGTACTATACACGGCGCTACAACCCACAAGGTAACAATCTTCATACTAACCGCCGACAAATTCTGCCTAACATTTTGGCCAGGAAGTCAGTGAAAGTTCCACTGTCATACAACAGAACCGGAGCTGAACTGGAGTTTTTGAATCTACCGGGTTCCTTTGTGATTTTGAGTCGTTCTAGACAAGAAAAGAATACCAGCCCCTTTCGGAAATCAAACCCGCGGCCTTCCTACCCATAGCCGATCACGTGGCTGGGTGTTTTATGGTGGTAAGTGTATTACAGTTTATTAAACTTTCGATCTTCATACGTGACTGCCCTATGGAATTACTGTCACCATTATCACCACAATCACCAAAAATAATTGGCAGTAACTGATTAGGATTTTAAATATGTAATTCAGATCCGTGTATATATATATATCTGTTGAATGTTACATATAGAATGTCGCAACCTATGAGAGTGTAAAATATTACAGGTCCGCGCTATATTTTAGAAATTGTCTTTGTTTTATTAGATTATACGCAGATATGATTGTTCGATATTGTATAAAAGAGATCCTACAAAACAGGTTAAATAATTTACATATTCAGGCAGGGTATGGTTAAAATTTGGTAGGTAGATAAGAAATTCCATTCATGTTGCCTGTGAGACAAAATTCGTCTTGTGTACAGACTACACATGTAAGAAGACCATTGTGGCTAACCGAATATGGACAGTAGATTCTTCGATAGAATTATCGAGGGGAAAAAAAGTTAGGTTTTTCCACACTGTGTACACTGTCATTTTTTTTAGTACAATCGTAAATTAACATCAAGTACGAGAGAAAGATTCTCTTAGAACTATTTTATGGACCAAGCTTTAGTCTATTTAACTGCCATTTTTATTTCATGGCTGTGTTTGTGCCCTCGAGGGATTCTCCCTACCAACGCATTCTGTGAGCGCTGATACTGACATAACAGAGGCCTAAATTTAGGATTGCTCTTTGTGATTACGCTACAGAAACGTGTATGGCATACTAGCTGGCTGTAATGTGAAAACGTCGTTTCGGTTGTTTTTGATGTTAGGATGTGAACACTGTACATTATCTTCATTGTGCAACACAGACAGGTACAATCTAGTATTCTAGAACCCTCTTAAACGTTTAAGAACACGAGAATATACGAGCCTTTTATCACCCCACAGCACATCAAATAATTTAGGCCGAGCTTTTACGAAATTACAAATAGGCCTACACAATTATTAGGATGGTCAAATTAAGTTGGGTGAAGTTGACATTTCAGGTTATGGCGGCTGTAAGTACAAAGATGATTGTCTTTCGGGATATTGCGCCGTGTACTCTGATAGAATTTACCGACGTTTCAGAGGTGATTCTTGCCTCCGACAATCTTCCTGCTAATTGAGGCAGCATATACTTCTGAAACGTCAAGAAATTTCTACCAGACTACACTACGCAACTTACCAGAACAGTAATCTTCAACCACGATTACATTGATTAAACATGAAGCGATCACAGGGGAGATGAGAAATGCTTACAAAATTTGTAGTCGGAAGATCTAAAGGAAACTTTGTATATCTGCTCTGCGCGTACTACTTATATTTATTGAGCCTTAAACAAAATGTTTATGTTTTCAAATAAGCACGTTTTCTGTTAATACGAGACTTGGCTTTACTCCGAGGGAAGGACGTTGGTTGACTATGTCTGACAGAAAACGTTCTGAAGACATCTGTGCCTAAGAAAGATAAAATAACAACATACCGGGGACAATTGCATTTTAGAAGCTTCATAAAATTCATTATTTATCTAATTTAATAAATGAGCGGTAAATTTAATAAGCATGGGACTGGTGGATCACTTAGCACAAATATGGAAATTACAACATTATGGTTTAAAAGCCTAATTTACAAGGTAGACGTAGACGTGACTAAACTGAGTTTTGAGAATCCAGATTTTACTCAGGATAGGGTCAATCGGAAGGCTTCCAATTCCACAAAAGTATAGTATTTCTGAAACTGCTGAGTAACTATCAATCGATTACGAAGACCCAGTAGCATTAAAGCGGAGTTTAAAGCGATGTTTCGACGCCACGCGTTCACTCAATACATGTCTGTGAGTGGAAGCACTTGTTGCTTTGACAGCATCTGCGAACCTCGCAGACTTGCAGTCGGTCAATACCGTCGCGGCCACAGGTGCCTTGTCTGTTTATCCGTCGCTACTCGGCGTACAAGACGTCTATAAGAAGTTCATGTGCCTGTCCACTTGTTATATAGACATACGGAAGACATTTATATTACCCCAGCGATTACGGTGCAAAGATTGTTACAAATGGCAAGTAGACCAGGATTAAGAAGGGGCCGATCGTGAAGGTACGAATCCAACATTCGCCTGAGGAAACAAGGAAACTACAAAAATATTTCGGGCTATCCGGTAGTCAGACATATACATGTGGTATTCCAAAATACAAGCATTTATATCTTACGCTAGATCAACCTACTCGGTGCAAACTACTAAGCTAGGACTCTCCCCTCATTCTGATTAGATGGTGTTGTATTGGGTATTTAATGATGAAATATCAGCTACAACTACCATACCGTGAAATGAGAAACACGATAGTTATTAATAATAATTTAAGGAAACGTTGGAAAGGAAGATATATTTTCGTCTTTTAAAATAATGTTTCGGTATTTGTCATAATCCAAAATTTGATTTAAAACAACCGAAAGTAAATCTGGACTTCAAGAGGATAAGAACCATAGCAGAGTTCATCGAATTAGTTAAGGCGAGTTAGATGTTATTATTCGTAAAACATTTAAATACTGTAAAAACGTTTTAAATATTACTTTTTCAGTTTTTGTTTAAATCCTTCAAGTCCCAAAGTCATTTTAAATATATTCTTTTAAATATTACTTTTCCAGTTTTTGTTTAAATCCTCCAAGTCCCAAAGTCATTTTAAATATATTACATAGGCCTACTATGATGAATGATTTCTTGACGATGTGCAAGAAAGCGGTCATGACCACTTTAAGGTACGTCCCCTTCTTTAACAGTTGTCTGGATAAACTTCCTAAGACCAAAAATTGCTTCAGTTGGTCTGCAGACCAAGAATTGAACCAGAGACTCCTATACGGCTCAGAAATTATATTTAACCGTGATGTTCGGTGTAGGCGTGTCTGTCCACAAAAGTACCGCTTTGATTTCGTGGATGTGTAGTTTCTGGCTTCTGTAAGAACGCGTTGATCAAAAGATCAGAACAACTTCGCACGGGGGCACGTCGCAAACAGGCCGTGTGTGTAGAAAAACGGTCAATAACAGGCAATCCCCGTCTGCCTTCAAGTGGAATTTATCTTTGATAAGAAGAAGCGCATAACAGAGATGGGCTAATCAAACGCTTCCTACTTTCCTTTAAAAGGTTAGCGTTGAAAACTTTGCCTCAGGAACGATATCAGCAGATGGCGAGGTAGGGAAAATAATTCAGCCCAAGTCTTACATCCTTCTTATTATGAAAAGAAATGTGACCCAAAGTTCTGTTCAGCTTATACATTGCTTGGTTCATCGGTGTATAGG